ATCAGAGAGCAGGAGACGACAACCATGCTCTCTCGTGATAAGAACAGAAGGGACGTTCTCAGCCGGAGTATCTATGAGAATCCCTCCACCAGCCTGCTCTTCATGGTGAAGAACCAACGTTCTCCTCCTGAGATCAGGACCAGGATGAGGGTGTGCACTGCGGCCATTTCTACCACACGCTCACCAGGGGCCCAGGCAGGCCACCCAGCAAGAGGAGGAATCAAGATCAGCCCGAGGAGGGGCAGGAGGGATCCTGTCCCTGTTCACGGGGACCACAGGATTCCCACACACACCCTGACTCCAACACGAGGCCTCCAGAGCCGTGAGGGGTGGAGTCCTCAAACCCATCGGCCACTGCAGCCTGAGTGGGCACAGTGCTGGACCCAAGGTCGACAGTCTTCAAAGCAGGTGGAGAGGAAACAGGACTCGTGGTCCCCAAAGAGGCAGCCGTGGAAGTGACAGCTGACCGTCAACATGGAGCCACCCATGAGCAGTTGCGTCATGGAGAGATGAAGGGGCTTCTGGAACTACAAGCCACAGATTCTAAAATGCTGCTCTCAGGCAGCCGAGGCTCTGGAAAGGGCCCTTCACAGACACACTGAGGCGTCCCGCCCACTGAGCTGCACCCCAGCCCCATGCCAGAGCCTTAACTCCCGGGACCTCAGAATTGACCAATTGGAGACAGGGCCTGGGAAGAAGTGTTTAAGGTAAAATGAGGTCATCTGCATGGGCCCCAAGCCAATGTGACTGGTGTCTAGGAGAAGAAGGGATTAGGACACAGACACACAGAGGGAGACCCTGGGAGAAGACAGTGTCCACAAGAGAGGCCTCAGAAACCAGCCCTCTGATACCTGGTGTTGGACCTCTGTCCTCCAGAACTGTGAGGAAATAAAGGAAGTTGTCCAGTCTGGGACACTTTGTTATAGCAGCCAAAACAGACTAATACAGTAACCGTGCATAAGACACACTCGGAGAATATGGATAAAAATACTTCCTAAAATGTGAACATAAAAAATATTTCTAAAAATATTTTACAAGTGATTTTTAATAGCCATGACTATAATACTAATTTAAATGTTGTGTGCAGGCTTGATTATCTTATCTGTGTCTCTAAATGTTTATATATTCAGATTCTGTCATATAGGGTAGTTACCTGTATAGTCACATATACTGTAAGGCAAGTCCTCTCTCTCAGGAATCTTTAATTCAGAAGAATTAAAGCAGTGACTCAAACAGGTATTTGTACACTGGGTTCACTGCAGAATGATTCACATGAGCCCAGGTGTCCGTGGACAGGTGAGTGGATAAACAAAAGGTGGGGTCACATACCGTGGAATATTGTTCAGCCTTAAAAAAGAAAGAGATTCTGACATATGCTACCTCCTGGGCAAACCTAGAGGGCATCATGCCAGGCACGAAAGGACAAAGACGGTATCATCCCCTTACACGAGGTGCCGAGAGAAATCCAATCCTCAGAGGCGGAAAGATGGATCCAGGGCTGGGGGAAGGAGGCCCGAGCAGCCCGTGTCAAAGGGATTTGAGGCTTTGGTTCAGGAAGATGAGAAGTATTAGAGATGGGTCACAGGGACAGTTGCCAGCAACGTGAGGATGCGTAAGGCCATTGAAGCGTGTGCTGTAAAAGGCTAAAACGGTGAATGTTATGTATATTTAACCAGCATTTGAATTTTTAAACAAGATGAGAAGCTGGATCCCAGACAACTGACTTATAACCAGGCAGAACTGCAGCTTTGAGCCCTCCGGACCCTGGAGACACAGTTTTGAGACTCTCAGGATCCCGGCAGGCTGGCATTCTAACCTTGAGAACAAACAACTCCAGAATTGTAGAAGGGGGTGGGGCTCAGAGGTGGAAGGTCACGCAGCGGCTGCGCAGGGCCACCAGGAAGGTCTCACCAGCGACCACAAGAACAGAAAGTGCCCCTGATGTCGGGTGGAAGATCCTGCAGGGACCCTACCCCACGGCGCCAAGGCCCCAGGAGAGGCCCTCTGTTACTGAACAGTCTCCCAAGAGGTTTCCTGGTGCCTTCTGGCTACAGACAACGTTTTTAAAGGAGGGAAAAAATGGCCCAAAGCAAAGTTCTTTGCAGAAGCAACTTAAATAAGAACGTGAAAACAACAGGCCAGGGCTGGAGCTCAGTGGCAGAGAGCCTGGTGAGGAGACCCTCAGCACCACATGAAAAATGAATAAAAACAAAGATATTGTATAAAGAAAAAGATCGTGGAAACAATGAAGAGCAAAGTTGTGACGTATTTCTTAGTAAAGCCAAGTGTCTTAAAGCGGAATGAACATTTTGGACATGAGGATACTCTAGAATCCCTGTCCCTCGCTGTGTCCACTCCTGCCTTCCACAGCCACCTTCTTGGTCCTTATCAGAGCCAGCCTGCACCGGTGGCTGGGACCAGGTCCCCCTGCACACGGTCCTCCTGCAGCCAATGCAGGAGAAAGACACACGTCACGAGGGATCTGCAGCCAGGTGGCACCGAGTCCTGCTGGGGAGGAAGGAGGTGTCTGAGAAGGTCGACTAGAGGGCATGAGGGTGGACGCAGCTCCTTCTGCAGAGGACCCAGCACACACAAGATGGGCCGAGGTGGGCAGCAATCGAACCCATTTGACAACGGCCCAGAAGCCAGGGGGGAGGGGAGGAGTGGAGCAAGGCCTGGAAGGGTCACACCAGGGGGCTCTGGCCACCAGCTGTGAAGGGCAGCAGGAACCTCTGGAGAGTCCCAAGCCGGAAGGTTTGTGGTTGGATCAATAAACAACCCCCCTTCACACTCCCAGATGACAAATATTAGTCTGGAGAGTGACTATTTTGAGAGGTTGGGACGTTACCCAAGACAGCCTGGCTTTGTCAGCTCTGCTTGCCTCCAGTGCGGCTGTCAAACCAGCCCAGAATTAGCTCCAGACGGCCGGCTCCATCCTCATCTGCATCGCGCTCGCTCCCAGGAAGGTGTGAAATTCTTCTTAAGAGAAATCAAAGAAACAAACCTATACACTTAAAATATCTGCTTTTCTTTGAAAACAAATTTCAAAGAACAATATCCTAACTTTAAAATGCCCGACTAAAAAAAAAAAAGCACCCGGCACGACACTGAGAGTAGTTAAAGCCACCGTGGTGGAGCTCGGACTTTGAGCCAGGCGCTCTAGACACGGCCCACGACACCACAGCAATTTGTGTGTTTATATGTGTCTACCCCACACCCAGCCCAGATCGCCCACTGCCTCCCGGAGCCTCCCAACGACACCCCCTTTTATAGAGAAGAAAACCGAGGGTCAGAGAGGGACAGAACCTACCCGAGGCCACATGGCTGGGAAGAGTGGAGCCAGGACCCAAACCCGAGGGGCTCACAGTTACCAGGCACTTAGCTGAACCCCAACCACTCTGTCCTGTCCAGTGCCCACGGCAGCCCTCCTTAGCATTGGTACTGCCCCCCATTTGTGGATGGAGACACTGAGGCACCACAATAACGACTTTCTCAAAACTGCCCAGGAAGTATGTGGCCAGGCAGGGCTGGGAGGGCCCCTGCACAATCCTCTCCCTGGGCCCTCTCTCACTTCAGGAATGAAACCATCCCAGGTCCATGCACAAGGCCACTTCCCTCTAGAACCCAGACAAGCCCTGAGACCTGGGGACGCTGAAGTCCAACAAGGCCTTTCCAGAAGCCGAACGTCACACCTGAGTGCAGCTGGTCCCACTGAGGGGGGCCTGCACGTGTGCCCCTCCCCAGGGCAACTGCTGGTACCGAGAAGGCCCAGCTCTGTCCCACATGGCCGCCTGGCTCTGTCCCGCACGGCCGCCTGGCTGCACCGTCTGGCAGCCTCACCTGCACTGTGAGCTGGCACTCCCTACCCTGCCGCCCACCCCCAGCTGCAGAGCAGCCTCTGCTTCCCACTGCACCAGGCTCAGGAGGGAACAGTTTACCTGGGACCTGCCAGGCCTCTGCGCCACCTGCACCGTCTCCTTCAGCACCCACGGAGGGATTGAGAATGCCCCACGGTTTCCCCCTTTTGCAAAACTGAAGAAACTGAGGCCCAGGGAGGCTCAGTCACTTGTCAAAGGTCACTTACGAAGGATGGAGTGGCCTAGCTCTAGTCTCGGTCCAAAGTCTGGGCTCTCAATTCCCACGTGTGACCCTGAAGGGCCCCAGTCCCTGGGTAGGTGGAGGAGTTCAGGCAGGGGATGGAGTCAGCCAAAGATGGAGGCAGGCAGAGGCCTAGCATTCCCATGTCTGCAAGGGGACATGTCACAGGGTCCACGCTTGGCACACCAGGCACAGCCGTTCCTTCAGGTAACCAATGAGAATGCCGGGTCAGGCTGGCACTGTCCGTGGTGCTGAAGAGGTGGCTCGGGCTGGGACAGCTGAGATCCCTGCCCTGGAGATCTGGGTGACCTGCCGAAACCACAGCCCACACTGGGCCTCAGTCTCCCCGTCTGCACAGCGGGGACAAGTTTACTCAGGATGAGCTGTCTATTGCCAAGGAGAAATAAGGAAAAAAAAAAACATGAAACTGGGTTTCAAATGGGACGTGGCGGGTCCTGGGAAGCCTCACGTCCTAAGCAGCTCACCTACATGTGACATGGCCAGGTTGGTGCCATTGCTCTAAAGCGTTACTCATTTCCACAGATATCAAACCCACTTGGAGAAGTGGGGCTCTGCTTGTAGGAAGGACTGGAATTATCTGGACACACAGGGAGTCGTTCCCACATAATAAAGGCCACCTTAGGTGTTAAAAAAATAGGGAAATTCCAAAAGCAACATAGACCTTGGGTTGGCATCTCCACTCCGCTTTTATTGCTGCGTGATCACATTCTCCAAAGCGAACTAGTCACAGAGCTGAGAAAGTTTCTGCGGAGTCCTTGTGCAGAGGGGTGGGGGGCAGGGGGAGTGGAGAGACTGGAGATGGGGGATCTTCCCGACGTCTCGGTCTATGCGCACATGGGGACAGGAGGTTTAGTTGTGGGCTGGCCAGGATTTTCTGGCTTGTTGAGTATTCCTGTTCTGGAATCAAACCCAGCATGAAGATGACATTTAAAAAAAAAAAAACCCACAGGCTTATTTCATATCCAAACACATCTGTCCATGTTCATAAAAAAAAGAGGCGCACCAGCTAAAGAATCTCGCTTCCCCCGATGCCGGATCCTCCAGCCGGCTGTCTGTCCTGGCAGCCCTGCAGCCTTGAATGAGAGCAGGCAAGAGAGGAGACGCCTGAGGGTGAGGAGGAGGCCCCAGGCAGACCTGCCTCGGCCTCCCACCTGGGAGACAGGTGAGCTGGGAGTTGGACCTGGACGGTCCCACCTGGCCCCAGGCTGCCTCGTGACTGTTGTTCCAACCTGTCACGGCGTTTTCTTGTTTTTGTGTCTCTCGAGGGGGAGTCTGGGTGGCTTTGCTGACCTCTGTATCCCAGCCTCTAGGACCCAGGGCAGAGCCTAAAGGTAGGTGCTCCTGACATCCCGGAGGAAGGCGTGATCCCAAGCCAGCAGGCAGGAGCCAGCCGCGGGCCTTGGTCAGCTGGAGGGCCTGGACCCAGCTCTGCCTGTCCAAGCACCACCAGCCTGAATCTGCTGCCAGCGCCACTCCCTGCATGAGGACCCCAGGCCTCCAGAGCTGATCCCGCCCCCACGGGCCTCCGTTTTTACCAATCGCTCCTGCATACTCTGTGGGACTCCGGCCTCCGCCTCACACCTGCCACACCTCCAGTCAGAGCGGCTACGCCTTCCATCCAGGTCTCTGCTCAGACGGCGGAAAGGTCCTGCCCTACCCCACCTGTGCCCTTACCCTGACCCCTGTCACATCACAGCCCCGAGCAGCGATGGCCTGACTTCAGCCTCGAAAAGGCAGGACTGTGTCTTGCTCACCGCTGTTGCCCCAGTGCCGAGGACCACGCCCAGCGCCCACCAAGTGCCTCAGAGCATCACCAAGTAAATAATCAAGTCCAAACAGGGACAAGCAGTGACGACCACAGCGCACAGGGCTAAAAGCAGGTGAGAAGTGAAACTGCAGACAGCGAGGACCTGCAGAGGGCGGAGGCCTGAGGTGCAGGTGGGTGTGTCCGGGTCCTGGGGAGGGTGAAGGCCACTCTGATTAATTTAAGAGTGTGCTGAGCCAGGCATGCATATTAAAAAATTGTGAGTAACTACTAAAGGAATCAAAAAAGAACGTACGATTTCCAAACCAGTAGAGGGGAAAAAAGAAACTTCCATCAATCTGAAAGACAGTGGGAGTGTGGGGGACAGAAAGCCCAAAATGAATGACAGAAACGGACGCGTTTTATACACCAGGAAGCACTAGACAAGTGTCTGCTCATCATCATCACTTTAACATAAAAACCTTTGTCAAGGAAAGGACAGAAAGGACAGAGGACTCAGGCTTGAGGTCTCTCACAGGTGAAGGGACAGGCCCATCAGAGGAGCTGCCGCAGCCATCAGCCCAACGCAGGTCCCTTCACCCTGGACCCCAGGAAACCCAGGCCCGTTTCCCGCTCACAGCGTCCATGTAGCCCTGGGCATTGGTATCCCAGGCCCTCCCTCCAAAGGACCTGATTTGGTTTCAACCCATCTTTAATAGTCTACCATTTTAGCCGGGCACCGTGCAGCGCGGCCCAGGAGGCTGAGGCAGGAGGATCGTGAGTTCAAAGCCAGCCTGGGCAAGGAGCTAGGTAACTCAGCGAGACCCTGTCTCCAGATAAAATATTTAAAAGGGGCTGGAGACGTGGCTCCGTTGTTAAGCACCTCTGGGTTCAATCCCTGATACCAAAACCAAAACACTCTACCGCCTTACTACCTTCCTGTTTGATAAACCATCTCAAACCCCTTAACACACGATATAAATAAGAAAGCAAAACAACCCAAGCAAGAGTACACACAGAATAAAACCACCCTCGTAGAGAGGCAGGCCTTTGAACATTTAAATTTGTTTTAATATATATAAGGTATATGTTTTTTGGATGATGGGCTAAAAAGAAAAAAAAAACACACCACTGCAGAACGTGTTTCACACACACACACACACACACCCCGGTGAGCCTCATTTCATTTCCAAAGCCATTCTGTTGTAAATAGATAATTAGCACTTGAGCACACCTTTCAAGGGGTTTATGCATTAACATGAAAATACTGTAATTATGGCCGGCCAAAATCACTTGACTACAACTTAGGATTCCAGATTTTTTTTTATCTTTATTAGAAGTTAATTTTTCTCCCTTTTAGCCCCTAAAATACAGTTTGGCTTTGTGAGGAATGTTTTGGGGTTTTTTTATGAAAACTATAGAAAATCAGTTTTGACGAACGCTGACCCTCTGCTGGGCTATTCACCCATTTTTTAGCTGACCTTCAAGCTCACCCCCGAGGTGGCCCCTCGGGTATCAGGCTGCGAAGACAACACGGGACCACACTCTGTCCACACCAGCCAGCTTCTCAGCGGAAGGTGCCAGAAGGGACACCAGGTCCCCATGTGAGACAAGAAAATTTAAATATTCAATCTTCAGTCTTTGCAAGAACAGCGCCGAATGTCTGAAAACGTCGGAATCAAGCCACTGTATCCAAAAGATGAGTAAATGAGCCAGAATCCATTTTAAGGCTGCTGCATACATGCAGTGAGAATTATGTTAGCTCTTAAAAAAAAAAAAAAAAAAGTTGTTGGATTTTTCTTTTTTAATTGAAGTAACCACATGAGAAAATGTGTCTTTCTCATTCCCTTAACAAATACTGGTTGCATGGCCTGTGCCAGGCTGCTGGGCCCTGTGGGTACCAGGTCACAGGCCAGGTGACTCTTGTGGCTCTCACCACCAAATCATGGCCAATCCCAGCGTTCCCTGTCCCTTGGCCACCCCCAGATCAACTGGGCATCCTGGCCTCTCACCAACAGCCGTGCCTGCCTCCCGTCGTGCAGGGTGCGTGCCTGGTGGCCTCCCCTGCCCCCTGCACTCAGATTCAAAGTCCTGAGTCAGACAGCCCCTCCCCCATCCAAGCCCACCCCACCCCACCCTCTCCCTAGACTCCCTGGCTCAGCCTCCTCTGCACACCAGGTGACTCACAGCGGGGTCCCTCTCAGCCCAGAGCCTCCTCAGAGGGGCACTAGCCCCTCATCCTGGTGGTTGATGTGACTCCCTCGTCAATCACCTAGATGACTGGCTTGGTGACTGCTGACCACCTGTCTCTGCCCCAGGTAGGCAGGGACACTTCCGTGCCATCGTCACTGAACCTCTCCCCTTACCCGGGTGGACCCAGCAGGCCCCCAAGACCTGCGAGTTGACTGAGCTGAGTGCAGACCACTCCCCATCCCTGCAGCCCAGCAAGAGGTGGCCACTCCACTGACCCAGGCCAGGGGGCCCCAGGCAGCCAGGAGGGGCTGAGCGGAAGCAGGGTCTCCATGGGGGTCTCATGTGACCCAGAAGGACCAGGAGTGCAGGCTGGGTCCAGCAGCCCAGCTAGGGGACGCCCCGGGCCCTGGGGGAAGGACAAAGGAAGCTTCTCTTCCTTTTCCTGTCACTTGCCTATTTCTCACGCGGGTGGATGGCCGGACCCAGGTCGGTCCCCTGCCTGGGTAGCCAGGAAGGCTGCAGAGGGCACCTGCCACCCAGCCTGCAGCTGCGAAGCCCCGGCACTGTGGCCACTCCTGGGAAACCTCCAGTCCCACTCCCACCCCACCCTGCCCAGGGCAGGAGAGTGCAGGGCTCTGCCGCCCGAGGGGCCCCTGCTGGCCCCGGGGTCCCCCCAAGGGTGTGCCCCAGGCAATCACAGGTCCTCACAGGACTGGATGCACTACGGAGGCAGTGCCAGCAGGGGCAACTGCCTGGAGATCCCAGGGAACCTGCTGTGACCAGAAGCCACGCTGCCCTCCTGGGTCCTAGAAGTGGGGAGCAGGGGGGCGAGAAGAGAAACAAAGCCTGCACCAGCTCTGGGGGCAGGGCGCCAGGGACTCTGGGCCCCTCCCGTCCACATGGAGACTGGACTCCACTCAGGAGGGAGGGACAGGACAGCCATGCCTGGGGTGGGGACAATACTCAGGGGTGGCCGGCCTCTAGCTGCATCTTCAATTGTTTCCCAAACAGCACTGATTCTGTGCCTGTGAACTGCCCCCTGCTCCTGGGAGGGGAGGGAGAGCCCCACCTGCCGCCCCCAGGGGTGTCCAGCTGCCAAGAGGCAACAGGCGCAGCCCATCCCAGTCACCCCGGCACCCCGGGCCCTCCACACAGCAGCAAGGCCGAGGACCCAAGAAGCCACCTGGAAATGGATTCCTTTCCTGTCTCTCCCCTCCTCCCCCACGATTTTAATTAAGGGTTTACTTGCAAAGACCTAGCTCTGTTTAACGAAATCCTTGGACCCCTTTTATATTGTCTTATATATCGTTTTATGCTAGGGCGCCAGGAAAAAAGTTAATTATAACTTCTAAATACTCCATTAAGGGCCCCGTCTTCCTCCCTGCCTGAATCCGCTAAGGCTAGTGCCTTAATTAACTGGTCCCACGTGTGCCCGCAGACCTGGCCCTGCTCTAGTCAGCAAGGCGGGCCAACACCCCTTGGCACCAGGCTGGGCTGGGCTCTGGGGACCTGCGCTGACCCAGATGTGGTCCCTGTCCTCGCAGGGACACAGGACCCAGGAGAAAGGGGAGCCCAGCAGGCTGACTCATAGGTGCCCGGGGCTGCAGCACAGACAACAACAGCCAGTCAAACTAACAACAGACGCAGAGCACACCAGCCTTGGGGCCAGGAAAGGGGGCTCTGACTAGAGGGTCCCAAAAGCCACCCTGGAGAGCTGCACCTTACCCTGAAGCAGTAGGGACGGGTACAGGTTGGAAGTCAGTTGGAACAGAATGAGCCTGAAATCCTGGCAGACACCTAAGAGGAGGTGTCCCATGGGAAGCCTGAATAATCAATCCACTGGCTCCAGAGAGAAGGGGAGCTGTTCGCAGGTCTGAGAGGGATCCAGTGTCTGTCACTGGGGAGGGTCGGCAGGTCCGAGGACAGGCCCAGGGAGAGGCTCCCTCCAGTGGGCAGAAGCAGAATAGGGGAAATGAAGAAGGGTGGCCTGGAGCCAGGAAAGGAGAGCCACACAGATGGCTGTGTCCACCAGGTGCCACCGAGCACAGGCAAAAGGGACTCTGGGCCGTCCCTCCTGGGCCATGCAAGGCTGGGGACTAGGAAAGAGGGCTGTGTGGGCGGCAGGCTCCTGGCTGGGGTTGGGGAGGCCAGCCTGGCACCCACCCTCACAGACAGAGAGCTCCCTGGCATCTTGCAGATCCCAGCGTGTGAAAGGACAGTTCCGGTGGGCGTGGCTGTCATTCAGACAGCGGCAGCACCAGGGCTGCTTTTCCTGCCTGGAGAAGGAGTGGGTGGTGTCAGGGCCTCGGACCGGTGCTCCCTCAACAGTGGGCAGCGCTGGCAGCGGGTGCCACGGGGCGCTCAGCCTCTCCTGGCACCCTCAGCACCCCTGGCCTCCAGGGAGAGTCCACACATCCACCCGGAGCCGGGCCCCCTTGCTCAGGTGCAGACCAGCGGCTGGCCTCAGCACCCCGCCTTGTTCTTGAGACCCCAGCTCAGCCCACACTCCCGCTGATGCACGGGGTCTGCCTCCCAGCCCTGCCCCGGAGACCCCGTCCGCTGCTGTTCACCAAGGGGCATGCAGTCACCCCCAGCCCTGCTGGGACACTGGGCACCGCCCAGAGCCAGGGCTGCACGTCCTGGGCATTGGTGTGACACTTGCTGACACCCTCTCCTCTGTTCAGAGCCTCTGGGGACCAGCACTGGCCTGGGAGAGGCCTCGGCCCCGCCCTCCACAGGCTGAAAGTCCAGCAGGGAGCCACAGCTGGGCCTCTGTCGGGCAAAGGAGGCGGAAGCCGGGCGAAGGCAGCGGCTGGACCTCAGGCCTGAGCCCCTAACCACCAGGCGTCCAGCTCTGCACAGGCAGACAGCACTGACCCAACCGGCTGCTGCGAGCTCCCCAAGCTCCCACTCTGTTGAGCACCGCGTCACCCGTGGAGGAGGAGCAGGGACCTTCCAGCACATCCTGCGCCATTTTCAGCCCGCCTGGTTCTCCCTCCACGCTGGCTGGAGAACCTGTCCTCGGACATTTTTTAGCTGCTTACAGGGACAGTCACAAATCAAGGTGGTGTTTCAATCTCATGGCTATGGAATATTAATGGCCAAAGAGAAAGAGGGTCTGCTCAGAGGGGTGCTGTCACCCCAGCCCAGTCCTCTGCGAGGACCCAGGTGGAAGCACACAGGTGGGAGAAAAGCGCCCAGGAAGTCAGAGCCGGGGTCTAGGCATGCGGCCCCAGGTACTGGTCTCACCACTGTCCCTAGTGACTTTGTCTGTCTGGAGGTGGCCCTGAAATATGGCCTTAATTGCTTTTAAAATCTCCAAGAGGCTGGGGCTATGGCTCAGTGGTAGAGCACTTGCCTAGCACAGGTGAGGCACTGGGCTCAATCCTCAGCCCCACATGAAAATAAGTAAATTAAATAAAGGTCCATCTACAACTTTAAAAATATTAATGAATACATAAACAAATAAAATCTCCAAGAGAGCAATGGATGGGGAGGAAGCAGCCTGTGGGCTTCAATGTTCTCATGGGAGGAGGGCTGGGCTGGGCAGCGGGGCAAGGGCTCCTGGGGGAGTGGCTGGACCCACCCAGGGTCAGCACCGCTTCTGGCACACAGACACCAGGAGGGTCAGCTCAGGACAACCCGCCAGGCCTTCCGTGATACCACAGGGACGACACACTCCCTGCAGGAAATCAGGGGAAAGGAGCCACCAAGAAGAGAATTGCCCGAGTCCCACCACCCAGACATCAATTCTGGAACATTCCAGAGCCTTTGACCTCACTGCACATCCAGGACGGCCTTTGAAAAATGTCTTCAAGTCGTCCCCTCCGTGAACCCTCCCCAAGCTCCCACCACACCCAGAATCAAGCCCCACTCTGGCCCTGCCAGCAAGGCCTGTGCACATGGGCGCCCACCTCCTGCCCAACTCTGCTAAGGCTCCCTTTGCCATCCAGGGCCTGCTGCCCCACAGTCCTCCCCCAGATCTGCCCAGGAGGCCTTTGATGACCACCTAGCTCAGGTCCACACAGCCTTCCCCACCACAGTCCCTGGCTGGTCCTCAGCAGGCACCTGTCACTTTAAGAGTCCTCACTGATCTGGCAAATGCCAGGAAGCAATATCAACTTTCACACAGCACTTCACAGTTTACAAAACCTGACTACCTCCTCCCCTCAACACAGCCTCCAGACTACTCTGGGAGAGAGGCAGGGCGAGGGGAGCCTCGCTACTCCCATTTAACAAGAGGCCACCAGAGGTGACATGTGGCTGCCACAGTCACCCAGGCAGGAAGCGGACCAGAGCGGCTCGCAGAGACGCCACAGAGCGCTTGACTCCAGAGTCAATCGCTGGGTTTGAATACCAGCTCTGCCGCCTGCTGGCTGTGTGACCTTGTGCAAATGCCCTCACTTCTCTGGGCTTTGGTTTTCAACTCTATAAAATGAAGACAACACTCAACACTCGCTCCTCCTCATTCTGCTGTCAGGAGGACTGAGGACGTAGTGACACACACTAAGGGCACAGAAAGTGCCTGGCACATATTAAATGCGAACAAACACTGGCTCTGTACACAAACATGCCTGGCCAGATGTACCTAACCAGCGCTTGGTCCATGGCCAGCCCTGACTGCCGGCCCAGGAAGGCAGGTCTCACTGTGTGCAGCACGAGGTCCCCAAAGCCAGCTGCCAAGGGACTTCTGTTCTCAGTCACTGTAAGTCCCTTGCTGCTTGATCAAGGACAGGGGAAACTCCTCACCAGCCAGAAGCCCAGCCCCCTCGAGTGACGGCCCCGACATCTGCAAACACTTCCAGCAGCCAAGCTGGGGGCTGGGGAAGGGAACGAGAGCAAGGCCCCCCTGTGAGCCCACCCTAATGACCCGGGCGCACAAACGCTCCACCAAATTCAGGTGCAGATGCTAAGGAGGCCACCCACACGCCCAGGCGCGTCTCCTACCTCTGTCAAGCGCCTGTCTCAGTGCACTGGGCTCCCAGGTGGCCGCCCCTCCCTGGGCCCTCTCGGTCCAGCCCCTCGTCACCACCACATCCTCCAGGCAAGTACCCAGGCTCACCCTGACCTGAGCTGTCCCCTCGTTCCACCCTGTCCCCTCATCTGACTCTCCTCCTTCCCTGAGCAAACTGCCATGCCCTGCCAAGGCCCTGAGAAGTGGTGCCCTGCCCCGAGGACCTCATCAGTCCTCATGTGACTGTCCCACAGCCCTCAGTCCCCACCCCCAGCCCGTGAACCCTGTGGCTCCTCCGTGGGCTCCACACTGAGGAGGGCATGTGTGCCAGGCAGACCTTGAGACCCTCCATCCTCCTGCCCCACGGGGACGCACACCGTGACCACTGGAACTGCAGCCAAGTTCAACAGGCAGAGGGGGACGAGCCTGCCACGGTGCGCCTGGCCCAGGGCGAGTCTGGTTGTCTGCCTGGGAAACAGACCTTGGACCCAGCCAAGTGGAGCCTCACCTGAGTCCCCTGCTGGGTGGCAGCCCAGAGCTGGAGGCCATGTGGCCGGGCCAGGGGCCTGAGGAGTCCTGCTGGCAGGAGCCCTGCAGGGGCCTCTCCCACCCCAGCCTGCACATGCTTCAGCCCAAACAGGCCCTGGATTAGAATTTCCTGTTTGAAAAATCAATATTTAAAGCACCGAGCTGCCAAGTGGAGGAGACGGCCCTGCTTGTAAATACTCCCCTGGCAAAGCCGGGCCTCCCGCTCGCCACGCCACCCGCCTGGCTGCGGCCTCTGCCGCACACACGGCTCCCAGCCAGCCGCAGAGCGAGGCCCCGCGAGGCCCAAGGGACCGTCTGGCGGCCACAGGAGCTGCATACAGAGGTGGGTCGGCCCTGCACCCCCGTCTCCACCACCACAGGCCTGTGCGCCAGGCCGCCTGGGGGCCATCCATCTGTCCCCCAGGGTGGGGACAGAGCCCCACTGGGAGGTTTCTCTGGATTCCCAGGCAAGTGAATTCTCCCAGGGGGCTCCAGATTTCATTCCTTCTTATTTTGGAAGAAAAGCACAAAGACAAAGACAGGATTCCGGGGACGCGTAGAGATCACCGCCCACCCTCACACACTGTATGCCAACAGCTGCCCGCAGGGGAGCCCACGTCTGGCCCCCTGGGTCCCTCCTGGGTCGGCGGAGGCTGCAGGGACCCTCACTGGGAGGCTGAGCGAGGCACGTGTCATTCGCCCCCTCGGCATTGGAGGCTGGACACAGGGAGGCCAAACAGACACGAGCAAAGTCCCTCCGAGAGGAGGTCTCCCAGGCCCCATAAAAACCTCTCAGACAAATGGAAAGATGGCCAAGACAGGTGCTGGCCGCGGAGGTCCTAGGTGGGACCCGAGAGAAAGACACAGCCTGTCTGAGGTCAGGGACGGCTTTCTGGCCGGTGGAGGGTGCAGCAGAGCAGGGAGGATCGGGTGCCAGGTGGAGGGGCAGCTTCTGGAGGGGAGCCAGCAGGACCCACGTCCTCCCCGCACACCTGGCCGCCCAGCAGGCGGGACCTACCCAGCCACTCGTTGAATTTCTTCACCTCGCTCGGGAGCCCCAGCTCCGTGAAGTCCCCCGCGTGGATCAGCACATCACCGTAGGGCATCTGGATGGGGTCGGTCCTCGAGTGGGTGTCAGAGACGCAGACAAAGCGCGTGTAGCCGGGTGGCTTGGGGGCATCATGAGGCACCGGGTCCACCCTGTGGGGAGAAGAGACACCGTGGGTCATGGGCCCACAGAGCCGTGAACCTGAGGGTGCTGTGGCCAGAGCCACACTCACATCCCCACAGACAGAGGTGGAGCCCCAGCCTTCCGAGGGGTCCAGATCTGGGCTCTCGCTCACTGGGGACAAGATATTTTTGTCCCCTGAGCCTCAGTTTGCCCCTATGCCCAGGAATCCCAGAGGGCCGTGGAGAGGGCTCACGTGTGGCGGAACTAAAGCAGCATTTCCCAGCCTTGTGTCCATGCTGCCCACCACATGATTTAACCCACAGAAAAGCTGCATCGCTAAGTAGTGTATGTCTGTCTGCACCTGGACAGATGAAGGACAAAGGGTCAGACTTTTTCACCCTCCAAAAGCCAGTTTTCACCCCCTGGAGGATGCTACTGCCCCCACTGAGGATACCTGGACTAAAGTCCACGGTCCAGTCAAACTGACCAAGGAGAGCCGTGTGGGGAAGGAGGGATTCAAGGAGACACTTCAGTGCAGACAGATTGCAATTTTTCAAAACCATGAGCTAGTCTGATCACTTTCAGACCGAGAGCCTTCCAGGGGCATTGTCTCATGGCGTCAGGAATCAGATCAGGCTTCCAATCCCTCCTTGCTGCTTGTGGCTTACACGTGACCTTGAGCAAAACACACTGCCTGGGTTTGTGCCTCTGTAAAATGGAGCCACCTCCCCAGGCAAAATACTCAGAAAATTAAAGCACGGCACAAAAGTAAGTCCATTTCCTGGGGAGCCCGTGGTGGCTCTCTAGATTCATACCCGAGGACTCAAATCCAGCAGGTGAGCAGGACCCTGAGCTCCCCAGGGCACAAGCGTGGACAGGGCTGAGGAGCCGGCTGCGCGCTCCCAGTCCAGGGCTCTTCCCCACTCGCTGCCTCCCCAGCTGGATGGCTGTGCCAGGCTCCAAACACTTAAAAACAACGCAATGACATTTCAACGAGCAGATCTCTCCAAATGAGAATGCCGCTCCAGGAGTTGTGTTTAAATCTAATTATGCGGCAAACCAAAAGCGGTACCATATCAGTTACATAAATACTTTTAAAGACATCTTTCTAATTATCCTTTTTTTCAGACAATATATTCGAAGAAATTTAATTAACACCTTACGAGAGACGTGGGAGCAGCATGCTAATGTGCAGGGAGCCCTAGCATGTGGATCTGCCGCAGGTGAAGGCGCCATGCCAGCCTCTCCCGCCACCATGTCACCATGTCACCGTGGGAGGGAGCACCTGTGGCCCCTTTCTAGGGTTGTCAAGCCAAGGCAGAATCCCAGCAGGATGGGACTGGCCCAGGCTAGTGAGCAAAGAAGCAATCCCCCTGTGAGCCGCTGATGACCAGCCAGGACGGGGCGGGCTCTCCCCTGCTGTCATTCACTCATTCATTCTGCCTTTCTTCAACACCTACTGTGCGCCAGCCCTGTGCTCAAGGAGGGCCACAGGGAGAACCCAGGCTTGGTCACCGCCCACCAGGGGCCCACTAGTGGAGAGCAGATACAGACTTGGCTACACAGTGACCCTACAGCCACCAGTTCTGCCAGAGCAGCAGAGGCGGTGGGCCAGAAAAAGCCCTAACCTGGTTTTGGGCTTCTGGAAACTTCCAGTAGTAGGCAGTGCCTTAGATGGTCTAGAAGCTGAAAGCTCCCTCCCAGTGATTCCCCTGGGACCCCCACCACCATCCCCACCACCATCCCCGGAACAGGCAGAGAGCTGGCTGCGGCCCCACCCCCACGCCCCGCCTCCACCTACACGCCCCGCCCATCCCGACACAGCTGACCAAGGGCAGCCAATCACACCTGGGCTGCAGGCCGGGCACCTGAACTCTAGAGCCAATCAGATCATCCATATTCTCTCACTCTCTCTGGTTTTGAAGAGGCTACCAAGCGACAAACACCACGCCAAAGAGGAAAAGAGATGAGAAGGGCAGAGACTGGGGCAGGGTGCCGCCCAGCAGCCCGGGGCTGCTCTCCTCCTGCACCTCTCCTAGTGAGGAGCCCTGAGCGGGCCACCAGGCAGCCAGGGGCTCCCGCGGGCTGGGCCTGCTGTTGGAGCCAGAGCTCTTTAATTAACTCTGCCTTACTTCCCTACACCCCGAGGCTCCTGCACAGTGAAGATGCAAACCCAGCAATCCCCAGAGAAGAAAATAAAGGCTCTCGTTTCCCGCTCAGTCCTTGGGCTGTTTGGATTGTAGCAAACGCTAAACCTTAAAATAATAACGGTACTGATATCAAGAGCTCGTTCTGGAAAAGGAAAAAAAAGAGCTCCTTATGCGCTGAGCCCGTTACCTGCACATGCTCTCCCCTCCCTCCCCGGGACCATCTAAGCAGCATACTGCGCTGTCCCCATGGTACAGGTGAAGAAACCCGGCTCAGAAAACCTGGTTTACCCACAACCTCGGCCATGGAGCTGGGTTTATCCCAAACCCACACCAGGCTGGACTACCTCCAGAACCTGCTTCGTTTCTTTCAATCAATCCATGAACAAATGCTTACAAAGGAACTCCCACGTGCCAGACACCTGCTGGGTGTGATGGATGCACCTGTAGAGAGTACACCCACAGAGGCCACTAGCAGGGGCTCCCATAAACTGTAACTGTGTTTAGAAATGAGGGAAAAGGCAGAAGAGACATGGAGAAAGAGTCTCTGAGATGGCATCATTGGAATCCTGGATCCAGCCATGCCTGAAGCTAAACCCAAGCTTCCTAGCTAATGACATGAGCTAGTAAACAAATTATATCAGCTGTGTTTCTGACACTTGCAGTGACAAAACCCCAGCTAACACTTGAGTCACAACAGCCCTATGGATTAAGCAAATGAGGCCAGGAAAAATAAGTTCCATGCTCAAGCTCCCATTTAATAAGATAAAGTATAGAATTTGAACCGAGGTCTTCCAACAGGAATTTGGGCATCTAACTGCAACACCTTCTTGCAAGCAAAATGGTTATTTCCTAGTGACATTCTTCAAGGACCAAACATACGGTGTAGAAGCACATGTTCTTCTTTCCTAGAGCTGAGGCTTCTGCCTGCTGAGGTGCTCAGACGCCCACCACCAGCTCTCCCGCGGGAACAGGGTAATGGGAACAGCACAGAGTGGAGAGCACAACCCAGAAACCCAAGACCAGTGACCACCGACTGCGCCTGGCCCTCCCCGGCTCTGGTCCGGCTCTGCAGGGTAGACAGAGCTGGGGGGCAGAGGCATTCACCATGGGGATGCTGTGGGAGCCTAACTGACCCTCGCAGCTCAGAGCCTAATGCCAAAGCCCCTGCAGTGACCTCTGCCCTGCTCTTGGCTCTCGCTCTTCCCCATAAGCCATCGGCTCCAGGCAGTGCCATTCTGGCATCGGATGCCCACACAGACACCAAGCAGAGTGGTTACCCCCCATTACCTCATCCTGGGGAAACGAGCACGCCCGTGACAGGACATCAGCCACGCTGTGTGGGAACTCTACAAACAGGGAAACTGAGGCCCAGGGAGGGCAGAGGACTGACTGGCTGATGCCCACCAGAGCTCTTCCCCAAAGCACTGCCCCAGAGACATGCCCTCCTGTGCCCAGACCTGAGCTTCTGTCCCCCCTCCAGTCTCTGCTTTAGCTGGTCCCTCTGCCCTAGAATGGCCAGGTCCACTTAAGTCAAAATGCCGCTAGACCTCCAGGGATGCAGCCCAGGCTGGCAGGGCGCCTAGGAAGCCGTCCCACCAGTCAGTGTGTAAGCAGACTGACCGAGCACCTCCAGCTGGGGGGCGCTGTGGCCTGTCCCTGGTGGGGTCAGGGGAGGCTTCCTGAGGGAGTGACACTGAGTGAGCTCTGGAGACCAGCAGGGCAAAGCTGTAGACGCAGAGGGAAGAGCAGGTGCCAAGAGCTGAGGTGGGAAGAGTGGAATGTTCCGGAGACAGAGGCAGCCAGTGCCTCTGCTGCCCAGTGGAGGAGGCAGGCAGGACGAGGCCAGAGAGCGAGGTGTGCCAGCTCGAGGCCTCCCGCCTCCTTGCCCGCCAGCCCTACCCACAGCAGGCAGACAGGAGCCGGGGCTGAGCAGCAGGCCCGACGCCACCTCCCAGCCTCAGTCTCCTCCACTGTAGGGAGGGTGCCAGCGTGCCCACCTGGCATAGTTGGCAGGGCCAGGCGCCTGCCAGCCTGGCTCTCAGCCCCTCTCCCTATGCACGTCAGGACCCAACGCTACCCGAGGGGCTCGGGGGTCCACATCTCCACCACGCCTCCCCGCGGCACTAGGCGGACACCTCCCCGTGGCCCGTCCCTGACCCTCACCCTTGTCTTCTCCCTGCCACCCGGGCGGGAAGTCTGGGGCCTGGAAGGGCCTCCCAGGGACCCACAGGGTTTACAGCCCTCCGGGTGTGGAGTCTTCAGCCTCAGGACCACAACCCAGAGGCCCAGGTGCATAGATTCAGGTTCAGGCGAAGGCAGCCTCGTCACAAGCAGGGTCTCTGGGGCCACTGCATAAATCACAGGTTCAATCAGAGGCCATGTTTGGACCGTCACTGTTGTCATTAAATGTAAATTATGGATTTATTAAATAAAGCCCCCTCGCTCCCTCACCCTGGAGACAAAGCCCAGAGTGACAGTAAGTCACAAGTCAGGAAGTGGGGGCATCCCTCCTGACCCTCCCGGAGATGGAGTGGAAACTCCTCAGCCATCCCATCAGCCTGCGCGCCTCCCCCAGGCTAAGGGCCTCAGTGAAGGGCCTGGAGGCAGCAACCCCGGGTCCCTGTGCCACCCCGGCTCACCCAGCTCTGTGCCATGCTGCGTTTCAAAGCCAGAGCTCACGGTATTCCCAGGACCCTGCCCAGACCCCCAGGGCCACTGAGCCCCACTGCCAATGGAAGCCAGGGACCGTCACTGCTTGGGGTGAGGAGGGGAGAGACCTGGCCAGCTAGGAAGCCGGCTGGACCACAAGAAAGCCACCAAGCATTCATCGCTACCAGTGCCACATGGTCGCAATGACATGTTTTATGACACTTCCGCCGTCTTCCCTCCATCTGGAGCAAGCTCCGTGTGGACAGGCATTCGTCTCCAGCACTGTGGTGTCCTAACCTCTCAGGGCATTTGCTGCCCACCCAGCTGCCCTATGAGGCTACCCCCCCCTCATCCCAGGCCTGCTGTCAGCAGCACTTCACAGCTGGGGACAATGAGGCAGCACCAGGCAGGATCCCACCCTCAGATGAATGAGGGACCCTCCACTGCACACTGGTTAAGAGAGGGACATCAGTGGTGTCTCACTGGGTCACTTACTCCATGACCATCTTCAGGACCCAGTCTGACCCGTAGGACCCTCAAGACACCCCTTTGCCCAGCTGCTCCCTGCTGCTCCCCTGCCTGGCCCGGTCCTCCTCACGCCCCTTCCCAATCCACTACTCCCTCTGCCCCGGGCCTCAGCCTAGTTGCTGGGGCTCCTTCTTGGACTGGCCTCCTTGGCTCTCCTCTCCTGTCCTCCTGTTTCCCTGGCACCATTCCCAGACCCAGGTCTCCCTAGACCCTGGGTGTCCACCAGGCCAAGACAGAGGTGCAGTCAGTGACAGCTCTGCGTGGTGTCATCCCTGGCCCAGGGCTCCTCAGAGGGGTGACACGGGCACAGACACACACCAACGTGGCCTGCTCTGTCCGAAGGCTGGTGTTCTCCCACGTCACACCGGCAGGGCTTCCAGGACCTCAGGCACAGTCACCTCAACCTCCCGGCTGGAGAACCCGCCTCACCCACCCTGGGGCAGACACCTCGCGGCAGCCGGGTCAGGCCTCAAGGAGCAGGGAGCCTCAGCCCAGCCTCCGTACTGTCCAAATCCACCAACCTGGCCCCAAAACACAGTCAGAGACAGTTGCCCAAATCCACCAAAAAATACAGCAGGCAGCCTCCAACCACAGGCCCTGTGCCCCCACGGAATGAGCACACCCAGAGCCAGCGCCACAGGTGACAATGACAGCCTGCCTGTGCCCACCTTCAACAGAGGCCAGGGCCTGAGGGAAGGAAACCACGTGAGAAGGAGCAGAAGCCCCCACCGCACCCGGCCAGGTGGGGACCCGCGGCGCCTTCTCAGGAGGTTCTCGTGATGGCTTTTCCAGTCTCCCCAGGGGACGGCAGCTGGGACCCCCACATGAACACTCTGCCCAGAAACGGTGCCACCCCATAGTGGAGGCTTGGGGCCTGTGTCCCAGGGGTCATCGGATGCAGAGGTGCTCAGGAGGCTTCCACGGGGACCCATGGCCCTCACCCTCTGTGCTCTCCTCCACGAGGGCTCAGCTGGGCCCAGACCAGCACAAGGACAGGAGCCCAAGGTCCCTCTACAGACACCATGCTTAGCCCTGCAGAGGGGCAGGGGTGGGGGCCTGCGGTCAGGCAGCCCTGGTGCAAGGCCAGCATGGGCCCGGGTGGGGCTGGGCGGGTCACCTCACCTGGGCCCCTGGTTCCTCATCAGGTAGGGCCTGCAGCCCAGGGCAGATGGGAGGGGTGACAGGGGTAAAGAAACCCCGGGAGGGGCCCAGAGCAGGGGTAGGAGTTCATCCACCTCTTCCAGGTCCTCAGAGAAGAGCCAGGGAGGGACAGAGCCCAAGGGCAGTGTTTGGTGCTGGGGCAGGGTCTGGCTGGAGAAGGTCGGACTGGCAGAACCCGCCGGCCCTTGGGGTAAGGCACCTCTGCTTTCCCACAGCAGCACAACCGGACGGATGGCCGGAACCCCACGCCCAGATGCTGCCCCAGGACCTGTGGCCCAGCTGCCAGGCCTTTCAGTGTTGCCCAGCGAGGCCCGAAGCCTGGGATTCTATGACCAACTGCCCAGTTTTTAAATATTTGCAGAACATGGTCCAGGTCAAATAGAGCAGGACTCAGAGCCAGCACCGGCCCCCAAGCCACCCATCTGCCACTTCCCTCGGCCCCCCAAGTCCCCCGACCCGGTGCCCGCCCCCCTGCCGCCCACTTACATCTGCACGTGGGGCGGCTGGAAGCGGCCCTGGTTGATGTTGTAGAAGGTGAAGGCCTGCGTGGGGTTGGAGCTGTACTCGTCCACCTCGACCATGAGCCGGCTGTGCTGGTGCCGCCGCGCGGCCATCACGTGGGACTGGGAGAACGCCATGCCCAGGCCGCAGGGCAGGAGGGCCAGGGCCTCGGCCTTCAGGACACCGGCATCCCACCTAGAGCGCCACATGGACCTCCGCGGGCCACCCGGGCATCTCCCGCTGCCACCGCCGCCGCCGCCGCCCGGCCCCCCGCCAGACCTGCAGACAGACTGAGGAGACGGAGCAGAACCGTGCGACAGTTAATCTGTTTGGGATTTGCTTTATTTAATGTCAGATGAAGATTTAGAAAGAGGGAGAGGGCGGGGGGAGAGGGAAAAAACACAGTCGTACGCCTCAAAAACTCATTACAAATCTTTCCAACTCAGCAGTTTGATGAATATACTTTGGTCAAAAGAAAAGGGAAGGGAGGGAAAGAAAACAAACAAGCCGGGCGGCAAGGCCGCACCCCCAGACCCCGCCACCGGGACCGGACAATGGCTGGTATTTTGTAAACAGGGAAGTGAAGTTTTACTTTCCACAATGGGGGGACAGGAAGGATTCCCCTGCGGCCACACCCCTCCCCTCAAACCCCCAAACCCACCCACCGGGCCCCACACGGCACCTGGCAAGCCCGGACAGGTGCAGAAATTCCTTCCTCCCTGTCAGTTGTCAGTTCTGCCTCAAGAGCCTTTAGCAGCTCGGCAGGCGGGGAAGGGATTTTCCCAGGGACAAGTGCCACTCACCTCCGCAGCACAGGGCTGCCGCAGGGTGAGGGATCACTTGAAAATAACCCTTCCTGCCCCAGCCCAAGGCCCCACCACCCACTGCCCATCCGATCGCGGGAATCCTGAGGTTCCGTCAATCCTGGATTCCTCTGAAATCGCGGTTTGCAATGCTATGATTTCTAGATTTTTTTCCCTCTCCTTGGAAAACACAGTTTGCATTTATATTTACTGGGCTAAAAGGCCCCTCTGGCAGATTCCAGGTGGACTTCAGGAAAGGAGCCCGGTGAGACCCCTCCTACCCCGACACACCCAACGGTCTGGCCGATGCCTGGGCACTCACACCACCAATTTCCCTCTTTCTTTTCATAATTATATATATTTTTAACTGCGTATGTAGGAGATGCTTTGAAGATTTTTTTGTCGTTGTTGTTTTTCAGGTTTTGGTCGTTAAGACCCTCTGACAATTCCATTTACACTGTATTTAACCAAGGAGAAAATAATGTAATTTAAACTAGTCCTGGACAGTCGGATCCCAATCACGTTGAAGAAGGAAAAATCCCCCTTGCTTTGCGCTTGGTAGAAGAATCGACACACTCGGAAAACAAATTAGATAAGGAAAACGACAAAAATTAGAGACTGGAGAACATTTTAATTATGCGCAAAGGAGAAATGGGTTATTAATTTTTTTTTAAATCTCGGCCATCCTCATACAAGGTAAAAATGAAATGATGTTGTCCTCCCCCTCTCCAACCCAGCCCCCCAAAACCCACCCCAACTCACACCACCCCCTTCCCACTCAGGAAGTCCAGGAGAAAAAATAAATGTGTTTCCCCGATGAATTTGCTCCTTCTCTTTGTCACTAATTGTCCCTAAGTGGACGCGTGCATTGAAGGCGGGGGAGCCAGGTCTCCTGACCGTGGTGCTCACAGAGGCAGCCTGTGCCTGTCCGTCTGTCCGTCTGGAAATGCTGCCAGGCACCAAGAAGCTGGGGGAGAGGCCAAAGATGCCAGAAGTGAGGATCTACCTACTCTGAGCCAGTCCCACCTGGGTGTGATGGGTCTTGAGCCCCAGCATTGTGCTGGCTTGCTGTGTGCCTTGGGCCAACTTGCTGACCTCGCTGAGCCTCAGCTTCCTGTTCTAGAAAATGGATTTGATAATAATAATGCCACCATCCAAGGTGGGTGTGCCAGTTAAAGAGGAATTCAGCCAGACTCCTGAGCACAATGCCTGGCAGGCACCAATACCTGGCTAAAACTGGCTGGACGATTGTAATCACTACTCAGTTTAGTTGGCTGCCTGGGCTCAGGGCCTGCTACGTGCCAGGGCTGCCCGGGTGCTGGGACACCCAGCACGGGGCTGTGGAGCGTGAGCCCTGGGGCTGGCTCAGCTGCAGAAAGCACCTGTCGGGGCCAGGAGCTTGAGTCTTCCTCAAATGCACGCCTGATGTGCTTGGCAGGCCTCTCTGATGAGGACCCTTGACCACACAGCCCCGCGGGGCCTAGTCCACCCACACTCGGCCACCCAGGCCAGAACCCCGCACACTAGTGCTCCCCGTGGTCTTGGCAAAGAGTGCCGGGCTCTTGTTCCAAGCCACCCTCTGTGAGGCTTCCACCTATGAGGCAGGTACCGTCCTAGCCCCTACTTTACAAGTGAGAAGGCACATGGCAGGAGGTGGCAGAGCCAGGACCCAGCGCAGGCTGCCTGGCTCCCCAGGACCAGCCCCCTCCCACCTGGGCCATTCTGCCCTCCTCTCAGCCAGCTAGAACCAATGTGCCCTTTTCTCACACAAGGCATGGCCTTGACCAGGGCCCTCATTCCAGGGCCTGCGCAGAACCAGGATGTCCCCTGAGGGTAGGGCTGGATCCCCTTCACTCACCCCTGTATGTCACCAGCTCTGTGACCCTGAGCAACTGGCTTAACCCCCCAGAAGTTGCTTCCTCAACTACAAAATGAAGAGGACAACACTCCCTAACGGTCAAGAAGATTGAATGAGGTGGCATGTAAACAGCCTGTCACAGGGCCTGGCGTGTAGTAAGTGTTCAATAAAGGTCAGCTATTATTCTCACATAGGGTCACCCTAGAGCCCATCACACATGCTGAACGAGTGAATGTCCAGATGGAGGGTGGATGGAGGATGGATGGAGGGATGAAGGAAAAGGAGGATGAATGGACAGGTGTGCGGATGGACGGAGCTCGACCGCTCAGCCTGTCCCTGATGCCACCGAAGGCCTGGCAGAGGGTAGGGGTGCAGCCAGTTGTCTAAATCCCGAGGAGCCCTGGGCCCCTGCGCCTCACCTACCCCAGCAAGGGGGCCGGCCAGGCTAGGCATAGCCCTCATGAAAGGCAAGTCGGGGGACCCAGGGGACAGCGGTGGTGGCGGGACTCCGCACCAGAGGCCTCAGCCCGCAGGCAGGTGCGGGTCCCGGGGCGCTGGCTCCGCAATGAAACGCGGCGTTTCCACATAAAGAGGGTTCGCAGTGGCCCCGCTTGGAGAAATCAGGGGGACGGGGAGCGCAGAGCCTTCTTTTAATTCCCATTTAATATTTATGGAGCCGCAGCAGCCGCCAGCCGCGAGCGCGCGTGCGGGGAGCCGCACTTCCTCCGCCGCAGCCGTCCGCGGGGGACAGCAGCATTTCCAAACAAACGGCTTTTAGCTGGGAAGCGTTTACACCTGGTCCGCGAAAGACCGCAGGCAAGCGCGGGGACGCTGAGGGACACCGCGGGGCTCCCGCCCTCCCGTCCAGCCCCGCGGAGTGACCTTGCGCAAGTCACACGCCCCGGTGCGCGACAAGCGCCTCCCTAGTGCGGTGGGGGAGGGCGAGGCGGGAGGGCCGGCCTTGCAGGAACTAGGCACTTCCGTTCTCGGGATCACCGCCAGAGTGCTGCAGGCTGTCACCGCTCTCCCTGCCCAAAGGGTGTGACAAAACTAGGTCCTGCCTGGAGGAAGATGGTGGGGGACATAGGTCCATAAATATGCAGAAGGAGAGCCTGCAGGTGACAATGTGTACATGGCAGACAGCAGGAGGATGAGGTGCCGAGTGACCAGGGCAGGACCTGCCAAAGGAGTGCCATCCCCTCATACACAAATGGTGAGAGGGACAGCAACAACCAGATCCGGGGAGGGAGCCACAACAGGGGGCGAGAGCAGTTTAAAGGCTTCCTCCTGGGCTAGCCTTGCACGGGAGCCTCCATAAAGGCCCAGGAACCCGGATCTGGAGGCTCCCGGGCTCTCCTGTCCAGCACCTGTTGAAAATCCCATTCATTTTCAGGGCTTGCTTTTCAAAAGTCTTATCTTTTTGCAAGCAGCTTTCCTCTCAGAGGCTTCCATTTGCTAGTCCTGAGGTGCCAGGAGTCCCATGGGGCCGGGCACTTAAACAAGAACCTGGGTGTTAGCCAAGACACGAGGCACAAGCAGGCATCAGGCGCCGAGTGTCCGGAAGGACATCTAGGGAGGAGGTCTGGCCTCACCCTCCCCTCTGACCACACTCTCCAACCTTCTCTGGGCTCTGCTGCTCCGGGCGCTCCATTGCCACAGCCACCCACACCGGCCTCCAGGAGGGTCCTGAAACTCTTTCAGAGCGTGCCACTCCTCAGGCACACCCCAGTCCTCAGAGCACCTGCTGCCTGCAGAAAGCCCGGCCCTTGGGCCAGCCCAGGAGCCCACGTCAGCCCCAGCTGGACCACACGGGGCTCCCTGACACACCTGGAGTCCCATGGGAGCCTCCACAGGTGCTGTTCCTCCTGCCTGGAGGACTCTTCCTGACACTCCTGCCCCTACAGCTGCCCTCTGGTTTCCAGGCTCATGCCCACTCAGACCCAAGGCAGCCCAGGGCCTTGAGACATGGTCTCTGACCGCCCCAGGTGGGATCAGAGCTCCGCCCAAACCCCCAGGGCTTCCCTTACCAAACCTCCCAGCACAGGGCCTGCTTCTGTGTCTGAGCTAAATGAGCAGCCAAAGAACAAAGGGATATAGGAATGAGTGCGTGAGTGCGTGAGGGTGCGCGAGAGTGAGTGAGTGAATGAATGAATGAGTGAGTGAGTGAATGAATGAGTGAACGAGTGAATGAATGAATGAGTGAATAAATGAGTGAGTGAATGAATGAGTGAGTGAATAAATGAGTGAGTGAGTGAACGAGTGAATGAATGAATGAATGAATGAGTGAGTGAATGAATGAGTGAACGAGTGAATGAATGAATGAGTGAATGAATGAGTGAGTGAGTGAGTGAATAAACGAGTGAGTGAATGAATGAGTGAGTGAATGAGTCCCACAGCCCAGATTTGGAAAGCAGCTTGAACCTCCCTATCTGGATTTTTCATCTGCAAATTTTCAGATGTTAAAGCGTCCCTCCCCGCCTGTCAGGAGATTAAGGGACATGGGATACAAAAACCACACAGCTGAGAGCCCAGCACACAGTAGGTACTTACTAAATGTCTCTTCTATTCTGCTCAGAAAGTTCTGATGAAACTCAGGAGCCCTGCAGGAGACTTGTGAGAATCCAGCAGAGGTTTCCAGATGGTCAGGCAGCCCCCAGCTCCCCTGCCAGAACCCCAGGTTTCCTGAGCCCCTCTTTCCTACCGGGAAGCCACCAGTTATTCTCCTTCCCAGGGTGCAGTGGCTGGATACACCCAGCAGGACCTGCCTCTGCTCATCCTCTGGGCGCTGGGGAACACTGGTGAGCCCCTGAACATTCACTGCTCCTTTTCGGGGAGCCAAGTGACCCAGACCTGAGACCAGCCCTTGGGAGGCTCAGGGCCCTTCAGGAGCAGCCGAGCAGATCAAGGGACCTCTGGGACTCCCTTGTTAAGAAGCACGGTGTAAAGAAGTCTGTAGGCCCAGGGAAGACCCCCACCCAGCTCCAAGGCTGTATATGCCAAAGGCCCCGAAAGGAGAGAGCTGTGAAGAGTCCTGACACGTGGACCAACTCGGCAGTGGATTTCTGCAGAAGAGCCACCTAGTTCGTCCTCACAGTGAGGCCCACCCTGCACCCGGTGAGACAGGCAGTAAGCACCTGTCTTGTCGTGCAAACAGGACAGACCTGTTCTGCCGAGTGGCCTGAGGCAGCCACCTCTACCCAACACACACCCCTCAAAGTCAGCGTGGGTCAAGAGCAGTGCTGCCTTGCGGCTGTCCACCGATGCCCTTGTTATCAGCACCTGCTCTGGCTCTCAGAAGTGCTCCCATTTGGAAAGCGAAGGTCACTCTCACCAGAGTCAAAGTGAGGCCATTCAAGCCACCACCACAAAGCCTCCCGTCTCTCACTGGCCGTCTCTAACAATAACTGTGAGTGAGGGCGAAGCCTGTTGTCCTCAGTCCAGAACTCCAGAGAATCGAAGTCTGCACGGGGACGACAGTCTGACACAGCACAGAAGCCACCAGAGCCTTCTCCCGGCTGCAGCGTTCCAAAGAGCCAGCATTGCGCAGGCCCTTCTCCAGGAGTTCAGCCCTGAGCAGGCGGCCAGCGGCCCCGGGCTGCACCCCCTGCCCCAAGCACGGTTGATTGTCCTCAGTCAGGGAAAGCCAGCCCAGGGAAGGCTCTGCCTACCTACCGAGGCTTTTGTTGCAATGTGGCAAAATGACATTAAAAAAAAAAAAACACCAGCCCCCACCCCGGGCACATGCAGGAGATAACATTTAATGGAGAAGTGCCACAGTGTGGGGTTGGGGAAGAATTCTTCCACCTGCCACCTTCCCCACAGTTTGAAAACCACTTTTAATTCTTATTTCCTTCCCTTGTTTTGCTTGTGCCTGGATATATGCAACTGATCGGTTGATGGTTGGGAATGTCATAAGGGGCAAAAATAAACAGATGAACCCAAAGGAAAGGAAAGAGGCAAATAGCTCAATGGGGAAAAATCAGACCCAGGCCCGCGAAGCCCTAGTACAATCCGGCCCTCCATTTCTCCTCCCTCTGCTCCACCAGGGGTTTCCACGAAAAAGAAAATACCGACCAGAATCTGGGATTCGTGGCTCAGCTGAATGAGCCAATGAGCTGAGTAGATGAAGGACTCCACGAATATACTGAAAATTAGACCATATTCCTTGAAAAGGGATCAACCACAAGTGACTTTAAAGCATTTACCACTTAAAAACCTTTTAGCTGGGCCCATTTTGAATTATGACTACATGATTTTAAATTACACTTTCTAATTCCTCGCCCCCCACCCCCAGCAGTTGCTGCTACTCCATTTCCCAATTATGTACTTTTATTTCAGAATGATAAAGAGTGCTACTTACTGGATCATGTCCTGTCTGCCACAAATAGCTGCTCACTTATCCCCTTAATTTTAGATATGAATGCAGTTGGTTCACTGGGCTCATCTTCAAATTCTGAATATTCCCCGATCCCAGTGCACAGAACGAGGCCCGAGATGCAAAAGAAACCCGCAAAGCTCGGGCAGAGAAATCTGCTTGTAAACCCGGGCTCCACTCCATAAATTATTATAATTCTTGGTGCTTTCTATATCCATCTAGCAGATCAGCAATCACATAAATAATAGTGAGTGGACTGATTTTTTCTTCTGCAAAGTGCTATGTCCTAGTTTTCAAAATAAAGCTCTTGGAGATTCACGTATCTGTGGAGTTGCAAGGGGAAGCAGCTCAGATCCCGTTCACACACACACACACACACACACACACACACACAGGCATGCCGCACACAAAAGGGAACCAAGTGAATGTGGAAAAGTCGGCATCCTGCGTCCCCTCCCCACAGATCCACCCGCTCATGCTCAGTGGCAGTGGGGGCTCAGGACTTGGGTGGCTAGGGAGGGGGAGAGGCAAGAGGGTCTGGCTCTCAATATTCAAATAAAATTTGCGAAGAAAGTCAACGTGGATCTGCAGTTCTCGTGGAAATCTATTCAGCAGATGTCACCGGAGCACAATCAAGTTGGCCCTATGGTCATTCCACACTTCGGTCTGCAGTTGGGGTTTGGCCATTTTTACGATCAGTTCAAGTATATTTTTTGTGGTCATGTGGGAATTTGCAATTGAGGATTCAACCTCCAAAGTGTGATCAATTAACTGATGTGCCTGAATAACAAACTCATTCCCCCACTGCACTGCACTGTGCACAGAGCCCAGGCGGCCGAAGCTGCGGGAGAGGGAAGGCGTCTGCGCTTCCTTGTGAAGAGGGAAAGGCAGGGTGTGGGGAAGGGCCTGCATTTCTCAGGTAGCCAGTGCAATCTGTTCTGCAGTCTTGCAGGCTGCAGAATGTGCAGAAAACACGGAAGAATGCACTGGAGGGGAGAAGCGAAGGCAGGCGCGGGACGTTGGAGGGAAGCATCATTTTCTCCTGAAAGTGATGACATTAGCATGGGAGATGCCAAAGGCTTCATGTGCATCAACGCTGAGCCTCAGATCCCCAGAAGAAAGGCGCGAGAATGCGAAGATGAGCTATGGACAAGCTACCTGACAGACATCACCTTCAGATGTAGGTGGGGGCGAAAGGGAACCTGTTATGCCTAGCTCTGAACTGGACACAGAGCACCATCAACCAGAGGGAGATTTCTCCCTCTCGCCCTCCCTCCTTTCCTTCCTCCCACCTTTCCTGTCTTCTGTCTGTCCGTGCTTCCTTCCTTCTTTTTTTAACTGCAGCTGCTCCTATTTACGATGAATGACCAGGTTCTGACCTCAGGCTGGTCAAGCTCACATCCAAGAAAATTCCCAAAAGAATACTTTGCAGACAGGCATGGGAAGACCCAGGAGCATCTCAAGTCACTGTACAAGTTCAAAATTGGTATATGAATCTCAATTTGCTAAGTTTTTTTTGTTTCATGAAATTGGGCTGCTTTGTCGGCCATAGATATTTTAAATGGAAATAGAGCATAACTAAGTCTTATCTCATTACGGGGGGAATATTGTGCCGGCAGCAGATTGGTGGGGCCACAGCGAGCACCAGGAAGAATCACGCTGATCAAGACACTTCCCCCCGACACCACCCCACAGAGGGGCCCCTTTTGACTTCCTTGTGTGTTTCTCTTTTCCCTGGGATTTTGCTTTGCACACTTTAGTCATCTCTTCAGATCCAAACCAATTTCAGTGGCCGTCTGGAGCGGGTGTGAGTTGGCCGTGTCATTGTGGGGACATGCACACACCAGGAACCAGGGGGTGCAGGGAACTGCCTTCCCAGCTCTCCTCCAGCCCCGAGTATGGGGTACATCTTGCCCTGGAGAGCAAGGCGTCCAGGCCAGAAGAGCACCCCACAGCAGGCCTGTGCCTCCCCCAAAGGGCAGCAGCCTTGACAAGAGCAAGCCCAAGACCCAATTCTCAGGCTCTGTACTGGGGAAACCCAGCCCTGGTCCTTCACTCCAGAGGTGCTGACAGACAAAGGTACCACTGCTGAACAGAAAGATCTCAGAGAGAAGAAAATGGAAAGGGGATTTGTGCAAAGACCCTTTTTTGTTCCCAGTGAAGGAGGGGCAATGGGGAGACATGTCACATTGTCACTTTAAAGATTTTGACAGACGATTCTGGGATAAGGCAGAAATTCCACCCCTAACTGCAGCTCCCTCGACTTGAAAGGCGTTGACTAACCTCCACTAATTGCGTGTTTTCTATGCATAATATTTACTTGTTAAAAGTCTTTGCCCGACCGATTAATTTCCTGTGCCCCGCTATTCGTGATCAGTTCACAGGCCTGAAATTGGAAAAAGGAAGGCATTTGGACAGATTGAAAGATGACTGGGGAGGATTTTGTTTTTTCCAGAAGTCCAGCACCCACACCCAGAATGCTGCTTTTTCTCCTTGCAGACTCCCCTTCCCTGAAACCCAGCACCCACCCTTAATTCCTCAAATGAGTGGAAAGAGATGGGCACAGGAGGGGCTGTGGCTGCCTGGCTGGGAAGGCAGCAAGTTCAAGGCAGAACAACGGAACTCAATCACTCTCATCGGAGGAAGGTCTCGTAGTCCCAAGGCTGGACTCGGAAATGTTGAAAAGCAGCTTTTCTTGAACAATCATTCCATACATCAGTCTGTGTATTTCTGATGCCGTTTGGGCACTAGGAAAAACACCCCCAAAATCCCATCTGTTACCTAATCTAGACCTGCCTATTGGTCCATAAGTGCAGACCCAGGGTACCGGCCTGGGTGGGTGTGCCATTCCAGAACCTCACACAGGACCTACATCTGAGGTGCTTCATCCCACATGTGGGTGACCTCGGAGACTGCCGCATCAGAATTTTGAGGATCTACTTCAATCCAGATCTTCTGAAATTCCTGGGGCGAGGCATAAATCGGAAAGCAGCCCACGTTGAGCCACTTCCGACACACGATTACCCCTCAGTGCCTGGATTAGGCCTTTTGACTAGCCATCAGCCAATTAATGTACCTCCAACGAGCACTCGAATAGATGTAACCATTTCACAGAAATCCATCTTGAGAAAAAAGATTTTACAAGTGTTGAGGGGCTGCCACTTGGAAAGCCAATTTGCAGGGAGCCCGGCATCTTGAAGCACAGTTTATTACGCATGGCTCCCACACAGCGGGCCCCTGTAGTCTGCACCTGGCTCCAGATGCCTCCCTGTCACCAACAGCTCACAGCCCTGTGCTCTCCCCAGCCTCAACCCAGGCAGAAACACAAGCCCCCCTCCCAGAATGGTCTCCTAGACCTTTGGCTCCAGAAGACCAAGGCACCACTCTCAGCTGGGATGTAGCTAGCGGTCAGCTGGTGGCCTCTCTGGCATCCCCCAAAGCATTTTTAGCCATGTGACAGATTACTCATGAAGTTGGTATAATTTTCCCCCCTTGGTCAAGGCCACTTAGGGTATGGAGGGTATTAGTGTCCCCACGGCTTGGCATCCCACCCCCAGTGCAACAGAACCCTGCCAACAAGTCCCCCACCATGGTTCCACTCCTGTCCAACCAGCTCAGCCCCACTTCCTTCCCCCAGTTTAATTTCATAATTGTTGGCCACTTACCAGGCTTCCCTCTGGGCCATTCAGGGGAGCAGTGGAAATGGGAAGGGGAGCAGCTAAGCTCCTAGAAGGTGCTGGGAGAAAGGCCCCGAGAGGGGCATCCCAGAAGGGCAGCTGGACACTAGTGGGGGCCAGTAGCAGAGTGGAGCCTCCTGACCCCACTGGGCCACCCAGCCTGAGCCTGGAGGTTGGGAAGGGAGGGAGGAGGGTGGGTCCCAAACTCCAGGTTAGCCTGCGGACTCCTGGACACAACATCTCTTCTCTGTCCCTACCCAGGCCCAGGAGACTGTGCAAGAATTCTCTCTCTCTCCTAGACCACGTCCCAGAATCAACACACAAGAGACAGAACTGCTCCCTGGCACCGGCAGTCCATGGAATGCTGCCTTGGAGGACTGGGACCTGTCTGGTTAGTCACTGAATCCCAGGCCAGGCACACTGCGGGCAGCAGTAAACAGTGTCCAGTGGGTGAGTGGATGGAGGGATGGATGCACGGGTGGATGGTGGATGGATTGATGGCTAGAAACGGATGAAGTTGCCTTCGATACCTAGTAAAAGTGGCCATTCGAGCAGCATCAGTCCCCGTCTCCTCCCAGTAAGCAGCGCCAGGGGCTCCGTGCGCACAGTAGGCTCTCCAGGACCCGGGGCTGCTATTGTTGTCACCGTCGTCATCACTTGCACCCCACCAGCCCGCTTCTTCCACCAGCTACTCTGCCAACTGCCGGCGGCGACCGGCGAGCCGGGGAAAAGTTTCGTTGACCCCGCGGCCCCAGCCAGAGTCCTGCGCCCCGGCCGGCCCCTCCAGCCCGCACCCGCTGGGCAGGCAGGGCAGCGGGGTACTCGGCCCGGCCGCCGGCGCCCCGCACAGGCGGCCAAAGTAACTTTGCGGGCGCCCTGCGCAGCGCCGCGGGCGTCACCCGGAGCCTGGAGGGGGTCCCGGCCGCGCCCCCTCCCGGCCCGCGCCCCGGCCCGCCGCGCCTCGGCCCGCGCCCCGCCGGCCCGCCGGCCCTACCTGGCCCCGGGCTCCTCTTCGGCGGCCGCGGCGGCCGCGAGCAGCAGCGCGCACGGAGGGAGGCAGCGGCCCGGCTCCCGGGAGGGAGGCGCGCGGGGGCGGGGGCTCCTCCGGCGGCGGCCGCCTCGCCGCGCGTCCGAGGCTGCAAGTGGGAGCCAGACTCCTCCTTCGGGGGGCGGGGGGCGCCCGCGCACCCTCCCTCGCCCGCCCGCCCGCCCGCCGCGAGGCCGCCAGCCGCCCGGGCCCCTCCGCCGCCGCCGCGCCCCTCCCGCCGCCCGCGCGCCCCGCCGCCCCCGCCCGGGGCCCCGGCCCCCGCCCGCCGCGCCCGCGCCCGCCGCCCGCATCCCGCCGCGCAGGACGAGGAGGAGGAGCGCGGCCCGCGCTGCGGAAAGGGAAGCGGCCGCCCGCCGCCCGCCGCGGCCCGCGCCCTCCCGCGCCGCCACCCGCCCCGCCGGCCGCGCGGACCGGGGAGCGGGCGGGGCGCGCTCACCTCCCGAGCCTCCGCGGCCCCGCGGGCAGAGCCCAGGCCGCGCCTCTCCCCGCGCCGAGCCCCGCCCGCGGCTGCGACCCGCCCGCGGCTGCGACCCCTCCCGGGCCGCCCGAGCACCCGCCGGCCCGCGCACCCCGCCCGGGATTGCCCTGCCGGCCCCTTCCGGAGGGACGCGGACCTTGCTCCCGAGTGTGCATCGGCGGGGTCCTCCCCCAGAGCATCCCTCCGGTTCCCTCGGGTGCCCCAGGGCCCCAAGCCCTCAGCTGAGAGGGTGGCCGGTTGTGGCCTCACGGGACAGGGACGGGACTGGAACGGCCCTCAGAACTCAGCATTGACTGAGGAAGGCCCGGCCTTAGGCTGCAGAGGGGAGAGCAAGACCCTGAGCTCCGGTTCTCCACCGTTAGGGGCCCTGAGCTGGGTGCTTCCACTCTGGGGAGCTTGAGAGACCCTGAGGACCTAGCCCCGACCTGGGACAGGGAAGGGTGACCCTGTCTTTGTGTGGTCAGGGAATAGCTCCCTCTGGCCTGGGCCTCCCAGACTGAGAGTGAAGTCAGAAGGGGCTGTGGCCCCCTCAGAGGCCCATCAAAAACCCAAATGTGTGAGGGTCCCCCTGCCCCAGCCCACTCAGGCATGGAGCCACCTCCACATCTCATTATCAAATGAAGTCCCCAAGGACACTCAGGTGGACACTTGGGCCCGGGCTGCCCTTGAGGAGAGCACAGTCTGGGGGTGGGGAGGGCAAGGAGGGTGCAGGAGGCAAGGAAGGACAAGGACCTGGTGTGGCTCCCTGGAGGTGGTGACACACACCCCTACTGTGTGCCAAGGACAGGAGGGATGGAAAGGCATCCAAGCAGAGAGGATAGGGCTCCAAAGGCCTTGGTGGGTTTGGAATGGTGAGTTCAGTGGGGATAGAGAAAAAGGGAGGGCAGGAGGGGGCGGGGAGAGGGGGTGGGAGGCAGATCAGGAGCAGCTTAGATGCTTGGTTAAGGGGCTTGGAATTTTAGGGGCAGTGGGGAGCCATAGATTTTGAGCAGGTGCTGGGCTTGGTCAAGTTGATCTTCTTAGAGCTTCTCTGGCATCCCTGACCAAGGGGAACCTGGCCAGGGAGAGGCTGGGACTGTGGCGGATGCAGAGGCTCCTCCTGCTGCCCGGTCACACTCTACAGAACCCCAGCTCAGCCCAGAAGCACCCTCTCCTCCTGAGGCTGCAGACTTCCCCAGACAATGCCTGCCTGCAAGGAAGTGGATGGAGAAAATTGCCTTCCTGGGAGACAAGGCTTGGGTGCAGTGTCTCAGCAGCCTCACCTGCTGCCTGCCAGGGACAAAGGTACAAGTTGACCATGACCTTAGGAAGTCTGGAGGACCAAAATCTGTCTTCCTGTTCCCTGGGATGAGAGCAGAAAAGTTCCTGACTCTTGTCCTCCAAGGCTAGCTTCATCATACCACCATTCTACCAGAATTCCCCTCAGCTCCCAGAATACCATCTCCTATTTACCCTGGACATGCACTTATTGAGTACCTACTGTATGCTTGAATTCTGGCACTTCCTTTGGAGCAACGCATGAGCTCCCCATCAAAGGGCCTGTGTCACCTATGCCACTTAGTCCCAGGCACTGAGCTCTGAGCTTGACCCACACTGTCTTATGGAACCCCCACACCTCTCCCAGTCTAGACTGCACCCAAGGTCAGGTTCCCCAGAGCCCAATGCTGCATCTTAGGGCCTGGATCTCAGTCTCTTCTTCCATAAAGCTCAGTAGGTACCCTGGGAGTGGCTCTAAAAGACAGGGAATGAGGAGTGTGGGCTGGGCAGGATAGACCCGCTCCTAAAAGAGCAACCAATCTGGCAAACACAGCAGACATTCTGCTTTTGGAAAATTTAATAACACAGTGGCACTCGTTCATGGAGACTGATAGAAACACCACACAGCCCCACACTGCTGAACCAGCCGGGGATGGCTTGTTCTTCAGAAGCATTTCTCAGGCACCTACTATGTGTGGAGACCAAGGAGAAGCAGGTTATGTGTCCTAGGAGAGGCATGAGGGCTGCAGGTGCTCATGATGCACAGGAGTAATGAAATGCAGAGGGCATGGAGAAGCACCACAAATGCAGCCCCGGACGCTTCAGAGGAGAGGGTGTACCCTCTGGAAGAATATGACCTCGCTGTGAGGATGAAGGGGACAGGCAGTCCAGCAGAGGGACCAACCTGCCCCCAAAGGCTGGGAGCCTCCAAGGAGCATTGTGACACCTCTGGCCAAGATGCCACAAAGATGTGCAGGAAGCTGTCACAGGGCAGTAACTGCAGGATACTGATAACAACCCCTAATTAAAATCAACCTAATGCCCAGCCAGAAGGAATTGGTTTTTGAAATCACGGTGTGTCTAGATAACTGAATCATGTCGCTGAGATGCAATGGTGGCCAGAAAATGACGTTCATGCTCAGCACGTGGTCAGTGAGCACGTGAAGCAGATTTTACCAGTGAGTCTGATTCTGTGTTTTGAAAAATGAAAAACAGAGGGAAGAATGGAGAAAAGAAGACAGGAAGTAAGTACTGCAAAAGGCCGATCCTGGTGATAAGATTATTTTTAGTTTATTGATGGGAATTTTTTGTCTCCAACTTTTCTGTAATCATCTGGGTATCATGAAGGATGGAGAGAGTGGCGCATTCAGGGCGGGGTGAGAGCAGAGTACAGGGTGTGCGGGGAGGGCAGGGGCTGGGATGAGCCAGAGGTGTGGGCAAGGCCTAGGCCACTGAGGACTTCCATTGCCTTGTCAACAGTGGCCTGCCTTTTCATGC